CGTATTAATCTGTCTCTCAGAAGAAATGGCTGAGGGAGCCAAGGGCCCTGCGTCCTGGCACGTGCAAGTCGAAAATTGGCTTCGGCAACGAAGGCCGAATTCACGCCGAGTTTGTAAGCCGGGCTTTGCGAGCCTTGGCGATGGTTGAAGACGGAGCTTTGAAGTCTTCCCTGGTGTGTCAGTTCCTATTTATGCCTGTAAAATTTATGTCTGATGCTCAAAAGTCTCCCTCGGTGGGAATACGGGGACTTCTCGTTCTTCCGGCTTCTCTTTCCCGAACGATGCTGCGAATTAAGGAGAAACTTCCTAACAGCGAGGACAATTAACCAGTGGAACAGCTGGCCACCAGAAGTTGCGGACGATTCATCCTTGGAGGTTTTTAAAGAAACGATTGGACAGCCACTTGCCTGAAATGGTATATAGGATCTCCTGCTCGAGCAGAGGGCTGGACTAGAAGACCTCCAAGGTCCCTTCCGGCTCTGTTCTGAATTCTAAAGGTCCCAGTTCAGTGGTGAAATCCAAATTTTTTTACTACTGGTTGCGTGGCTTGGTGGGCGTGGCAGGGGAAGGATACTGCAAAATCTCCATTCCCTTCCCACTCCTGGGACCAGCCAGAGGTGGTATTTGCCAGTTCTCCGAACTACTCAAAATCTCCGCTACCGGTTCTTCGAACTGCTCAAAGTTTCTGCTACCGGTTCGCCAGAACCTGTCAGAACCTGCTGGGTTTCACCCCTCCCCTTTTCTTCTGATTTCTTCTGGGCCGTGGTGCCTGCCGATCTTCATTTTTCCTGGCAACCCTCCTGTAGCAACAGATGGGCCTTTTCAACCCTTGCCCCTCTGAAGCGCCCCAGGGAGATTCTGCATGTCCAGCCGAGCCCCCACTAGCCCAACCCCAGGGACGAGCCAGCCCGAGTTCCCCCATTTCTGCAAATGGAGCCTTGGACCAGCCCCTGCTTCCCACAGCCCCCTGTGCGAAAACACACAGGCCCTCAGGCTGGGCAGGGTGTGATTGTGTGTGTGTGTGTGTGTGTTTATCTAAGGTGGAGCCTGGAAGAGACGTGAGACCACTTGGAGGTCGGCTGGCAGCAGCGCCAAGGGACGGGCAGCTGATCTTCCGTCTGGCTCTCTAATCAAAGCTCTTGAGGGATTCCTGAAATGCCGGAAGGGAAGGGGAGCAGGGATCGTCCAGAGGGGCCTGGGTAGTCTCTGCCTGCCAGAGAGGAGGGGGCACAGATGGGAATGAGGGGTGGGGAAACCACGGCCGCCTTCCTCTGAGCTCAGCCCCTTATTTCTGCAGTTTTATTGTGGGTTTTTTTTCCCCCCTTGACATGCCAGAAACCATTTTGCTCTTTGCACTTTTAGCGTGTGTGGCTCATCCTGGCGGATTTCCCCCAGGGGGTCTTTGGTTAGGGGGCTTTTCATACCCGTCTCCCTGTCTCCATTAAGCAGCCCCCTGGATAAGCAGCTCCTGGAGGGGAGGGGAGGGAGATCAAGGCTCTGGTGCTCCTGGAGAACATTTTCCACAGTCTGGTTCTTTCAAGAAGGAAGAAGATGCTACAAACCACTTTTATTAAATCAGGGGTTCCCAACCTAAAGTTTCTTTTATACAAGAACTTCTTTTATACAGTCATTGTCACCAAGGGTATGCGTGTTACCGCTCTGTTTTTGGAAATCGCGAGATCTGATCATCCAGAGTTTGTTGAAGAAACCACAATGGATTGGGTTTACACAAGAAGCCAGATCCTAAGAACCTCAAAGACAGACATGGGGTGACTCACTAGAAATAGGGGTAACAGTGACACTGGGGGTGTTTCCCAGATCGATGCTACCACTAGATGGCAATCAAGAGCCAATCTTATTTTTTTATCATTTTTATTTTTCCAGTTTAAAAATATTAACCATCCAAAACCATTTATTTGCTCACCGGCACTTAGATTTCAACATAGGGTGCTAAATTCTACCCGTTCCCTTTGGGAAAATACAGTCAAGTGGGCCAGAATTTCCTTCTCATTTTCTGTGAAAACACGCACCTCGCTTGGGCATCCAGCGTGGCCCTTCTTAAAGATGCTTCCAGATAAATTTGCAAAAGGGTTGGAGGGAAGAGACCAGAAATTCAACAAGACACGTTTTAGTCCTTGATCTGGTTTTCTACTGTAGAACGTTAGCACTCACCCCTCTCTTAGAAGAATGAAATATTTTAGGAAATATTAAAAAGGCAGAATATTATATTTCCCCTAAAAGAGAAATGGAAATCCTAAGGGAGACAGAAACTCAGCTTCAACTCACTGCCCCCAGCAGATATTTTGGTGCCCATTGAGAAGGACTGGGCCAGCCTATCTACAAAACAAAAGACCTTCAGCTGCAGGGTGATGGGATTGAGACATGACCCTCCAAGACATAATAGGATTATCTAGCAGCATTGTGGAGTCACCTGGGGACATTGCATCACCCTCCAAGCTTCAACCAAACCTAGCTCAGACAAACATGACCCCACATGGCCCCATGGGAGTCTTGACTACAGCCAATAGAATACATTTCTTGCACAGGAACAGGAAGCTCAAGGGCAGGGCCCAAGAAAGGGTATAAATAACCCTCACTCTCCACTCCATGTGGTCAGCTGCACCGGGACCTCAAACCCATGAGGTCCTGTCCATCAATAAACCACCTTTCCAATCAGCTTCCATGTTTCCTGTGTTATTCTCCCCACTTGGATCTGAACCAGATGGAAGTTTCTTTCAACACTACACTGATGTGTCGAATGTGCTACATCTGCAATTTCGTAGTTTAGCAGCTCCGCAATGGGGTGCGTTATTTGGGGGGCACGTTGACTACGGCCCATCCTATCTGGATGTAGCCTTCGCCTGTGATGGTTTTTTAAATCAAATTCTAAGTTCTTTGCCTGCTGCGCTATTTCTAAATGAAGGGTGGGGTCTTTAAATTGCTGTCTTCAGATTAGCCTCTCTTTCTTTCTGTGTCGGAAGGCATTCATTAAGTTTTATTCAGAACCAAGTTGAGGACCCAGTTTGTGGGGGCAATAAGCTGACTTTGTATAAATATACAAAAGTATGAAGGCTATTGCTTAACGCACTGTAAGCCGCCCTTTCTTTCTTTCTTTCTTTCTTTCTTTCTTTCTTTCTTCCTTCCTTCCTTCCTTCCTTCCTTTCTTTCTTCCTTCCTTCCTTTTCCCTTCCTTCCTTCCTTCCTTCCTTCCTTCCTTCTTCCTTCCTTCCTTCCTTCCTTCCTTCCTTTTTTACAAGCCTCATAAAACTTTACTGGATGATGGCAGAGAGTAGACCAAATATTTATGGACGGAACGAGGAACCCGCAAAGGTGGTTGAGCTTTCCATCTCAAAATGATGTCCCTTCGTGTTCCTTGTTTGGAAAAACATTCTTAAGCGTTTACCCAATATGACTGATTTCTGCAGGCATTTTACACACATACAAATAGTCTTCGACTGAGAGTTATTTGTTTAGCGAGTATTCACAGTTACAACGGCACTGAAAGTGACTTATGACCAGTTTTCACACTTAGGACCGGTGAAGCCTCCCTAGGATTATGGGATCAAAACTCGGGCGCTTGGCAACCAGCATTTATTTAGGACCTGAGTAATGTGATCTCCATTTTTAACCTTCCCAGCTGGCTTCCGTCAATGAGGGGGGCAGCTGGATTCACTTAACGACGGTGTTTCACTTACCAACCGCTGTGATTCGCTTAACAACCGTGGCAATAAAATAAAATAAAATGGGGGCAAAGCTCACTTAGCAACTACATTTGCTTAGCAATGGACATTTGGGTTCAATCATGTTGGCAATTCAAGGACTGCTTGTACAATTTCTCTGCTATGAATAAAAATGTATAAAAATGAGATTCTTTCTGACTTGAATTGTTAGTGCGTAGATCCTTGGCTAAGAACCTAATTCGGTCTAATTTGTCCAGTTCCTTCTTCCCCAGACAGCCTTGGGGAGCCTGTCCAAATCACTTGATCAAAAGAAAGCCTTGGATTACAAATCCAGAGAGGAGAAGATTCCCAAAAGTAAAATTAGGTTATACTGAAAAAAGAGGAAGAACTTAAGATAAACGCTTAAAAATATTCAGATCTTTCGCCTAGTTCAGGGGTCAGCAACCGGCAGCTCTGGAGCCGCATGTGGCTCTTTCACCCCTCTGCTGCGGCTCCCTGTCGCTCAAAATATGCGTCACAACTGCCAATGTGTGACACCCACCGACGCGCAATTTATTAAACTTTTCGATCCCCGGTAGGCCAACCATGGATAAATCCCAAGAAAAGAAAAAGTTCAGAAGAAAACAGAACGTTTAATTCAACTACATATGCTAGTTTTGTGACCGCTCAGGAAATAGTCAGGCACGGGAAGGGTTTTGTGGCTCCCGGTGTTTTCTTTTCTGTGGGAAACGGGTCCAAATGGAGAGTGTTTAAGGTTGAAGATCCCTGCCCTAGTTCCTAGGAGTAAGCAGTTGGTTATATCAGTAGTTTGTTGACATTTTGGAGGGAATACAGATAGTCCTCGACTTGCAACACTTCATTTAGTGACCGTTCAAAGTTACAACGGCGGCACTGAACAAAGGGACTAATGACCGTTTTTTGCACTTAACGACCACTGCAGCATCTTGATAGTCACGGGATCAAAATTTATATGATTGGCAACTGATTCATATTTATGACGGTTGCAGTGCCTCCGGGGTCACGTGATTCGCATTTGCGACCTTCTGATGAGCAAAGACAAGGGGGGGATGCCAGATTGACTTAACAACCATGTGACTAACTTAACAACTGCAGGGATTCCCTTAGCGACGGCAAGAAAGGTCGTAAAATGGGGCAAAACTCACTTAACGACTATCTCACTTTGCAACAAGAAATCTTGGGCCCAATTGCGGTCGTAAGTTCAGGACTACCTGTATTTCACTGCAAGGCAGCTATTAGATTTTCAAACTGCGAAATTAAAAAAAATTGACTAGACAGATTAAACGTATAATGGAGACTTACCGTTAACGGCTTTTTCATAGTTTTTCCCCAGGTTTATTAAATTCCGCAGCCCTGGATTGAATTGTTCCATAACATTCTGAGGAGCAGCAAGAAAACGAGAGGTAGAGTTAAAAGTCTGTCCTTCAATTAACAGAAAATTCTAGCTATTCATCCCCCTCTCATTTAACCTTTAAAAATACATGTAGCAGTGGTGGGTTTCAAATTTTTTTACTACCAGTTCTGTGGGCGTGGCTTGGTGGGCGTGTATTTCACAGTATCCTTCCCCTGGAGTGGGGAGGGAATGGGGATTTTGCAGTATCCTTCCCTGGAGTGGGGAGGGAATGGGGATTTTGCAGTATCCTTCTCTGGAGTGGGGAGGGAATGGAGATTTTGCAGTATCCTTCCCCTGGAGTGGGGTGGGAATGGAGATTTTGCAGTATCCTTCCCCTGGAGTGGGGAGGGAATGAGGATTTTGCAGTATCCTTCCCCTGCCACACCCACCAAGCCACACCACGCCCACCAAGCCACGCCCACAGAACCGGTTGTAAAAAAAAATGGATTTCACCACTGGTCATAAGTACTGTTGTAACTTCAAATGGTCACTAAATGAACTGTTGTAAGTGGAGAAATAAGTGGGGTAGACTTCTTTTATAAGTAAAATGGCTTGGATGATTGGCGTAAGGGAGAGAAGGCTGATTATTCTCGGTTTAAATGCTTTCCACTAATGATGCATTTGTGACAGGCGCATGACTACTAAACAACAGATCAGCGCATATAAATGAAAATACACTCATTTTCAGGAATTAAATCCGTTGTCTTCCCATGACTTATTCCCAAAAAAGTTTGCCCCAAGTGTTGGCTTTGGTTAAGACATTTTGTGCTTCTTCTAAGTAATTAATCTTAAATTTAAAGCCAATAATAAACAGAGTTAATGCCGAGTCTGCAGAGTAAGGGTATTTCCTAAATCTGGTTTGTCAACTCGCTCACATTCTTAGCAAGAAGCCAGGATGAACCTCAATCCGAGCGCGATTAAAATCTTTCCAACAATAGGAAGTTGCAAGAGGCTTCCGATTAATTTTTTACCAGCCTATTTCAGAATAGGTATTTCGTGATTGGTTTTTTTTTTTTTTAAATCAAAATAAAAACTTGCCAAGTATCCTTTTGAAACAAAGAACTATCATGTTACTTTAAATGTAATTCTTTACACTGAAGGGAGAAAAAAAACCAATGGAAATAGCAACACAGTTACATCTGCCACCTGATATGTTTTTAAAAGAAAATTAACAGCTTTAAATGGAAACAGTTTACATAAATTAAGGAAGAATAGGAAGGTGGCAATAGGTATAAACATAAACAGAGTTAGCAAAACGGATTTAATGTAATCTGATTCCGTCCGGTGTTAGATAGGATAGCATTGCAGTTCCTAGAATTTATAGCCTCAAAGCTAATTTAGCAAACCCTTATAATTTTAGGAAATACAGTTCCAAATCTGGGGGAAAGCATTTAATATATTGCAATTCGTCTGAAGCCTGAAAGGAGCTGGGGATTTCCGTCAACTCTTCCTTCTCCTTGTGCAGCCATAAAAGTTGATCTTAAATCACTCACTCCTACGCAGCGGGCATTAAAAGTGCAACAGGGTGAAAGTATTTTTCGGAAGCCCTTCCTTGTTGCACTCAACTCTCACACCTATGGGCATGAAACATCTGGACGAGTCAAACATTCCGTCAACCTCGTTTCTCAACGTGAAGATGTGTGGACTTCAACTCCTAGAATTCCCCAGCCATCCATGGGGAATTCTGGGAGTTGAAGTCCACACATCTACACATTGCTAAGGTTGAGAAACATTAGAATATCAAATAACAGAGTTGGAAGGGACTTTGGAGATCTTCTAGTCCAACCCCGTTCAGGCAGGAGACTCTGCACCATTTTAGGCAAATGGTTGTCCAACCTGTTCTTAAAAACTTCCAGTGATGGAACAACCACAACTTCTGGAGGCAAGTCGTTCCACTGGTTAATTGTTCTCACTGTTCAGGAAATTTCTCCTTAGTTTCAGGTTGCTTCTCTCAGTCGTGGTCGTAATTCGAGGAGTACTTTTCTTCTAATCAAGAATAACAATATGGACAACTGATTTGCTGCAAAGCATTAGCCTCAAATATTATATTTGTTGTTGTTGTTGTTAGTCGCGAAGTCGTGTCCGATCCGTCGTGACCCCATGGACCACGTTCCTCCAGGCCTTCCTGTCCTCTACCATCCTCTGGAGTCCATTTAAGCTCACGCCGACTGCTTCGGTGACTCCATCCAGCCACCTCGTTCTCTGCCGTCCCCTTCTTCTTTTGCCCTCCATCGTTCCCAGCATTAGGCTCTTCTCCAGGGAGTCCTTCCTTCTCATTAAGTGGCCAAAGTATTTGAGTTTCATCTTCAGGATCTGGCCTTCTCAAGAGCAGTCAGGGTTGATCTCCTCTAGGACTGACCGGTTGGATCTCCTTGCAGTCCACGGGACTCGCAGGACTCTTCTCCAGCACCAATATTATATTTAGTTATGACTATATGTCTGGTCTTAAATGTAGAGCCCTGGAGGCCTTCTTATAAAACCGAAAGGATCAGGATGAGCTTATTTTTTAGTATGGCAAAGTAAATCTGAGCTATACAAATTCAGTTTGTAGATTAAAGGGTTTTCCTGCTCTTTGAGTATTGTATTAGAGAAGGTTTTGCTGTTCAAACAGAGATCCCTCTCTGAAAACCTCACCTTTGTTTCTTAAGACACGACACACCCCTGAAATGATCGTTGCTAGCTACCTCTTCACAACAATCTGGGAGGCCTGAGGTTGCTAGTTTTAAATTCAGTTCTGAAACCTTACAACCGCACCTTACCTAAATCGATTAATTCATTAAAAAAAAAAAAAGTTTGCAGCAATGCAATAGTCCAAATTCAGAGATGCACATTTTGAAATGGCCCTTGCAGAGAAAGGTGTAGTTCTAATATTGAATTGAATTAAGGCCCCTGGTCTAATGATACTGTGTCTTTAAGGGTTTTTTCCCCCTCTCCTTCTGTTCTATATTGTGTCCGATTCTCGGACACTGCCTGGACTGGTCCATGCAATTTTCTTGGCAAGGTTTTATTGGAAATGGTTTGCCGTTGCCTCCTTCTTAGGGCTGAGAGAGAGTGGCTGGCCCGAGGTCACCCAGCTGGCTTTGGCCCTAGGCAGAACTCTCAGTCTCCCAGTTTCCAGCCTGACACCTTAACCCCTACACAAGGGGTGTCCAACTTTGGCAACTTTAAGATCTGTGGACTTCAACTCCCAGAATTCCTCAGCCAGCCATTTGTGGACTTCAACTCCCAGAATTCCCCAGCCAGCCATTTGTGGACTTCAACTCCCAGAATTCCCCAGCCAGCAGAATTCTGGGAGTTGAAGTCCACAAATCTTAAAATTGCCAAGTTTGAGAAACACTGCATTGTGGCGAAACGTGCCCCCAATAGTTCTCAGAAAACTCAACGCAGTAAGTTTCAAATTCCCCTCTATACGTATTTTCATTATTTTCGAAGTATGTGTGAGGAATGTTGTGCAACAGGAATAAATATCTTCTGATATGAAGCCAAATAAAAGGGATCGCATGATAAGTCCACTGGCACTCGGCCCTGTAAGGAGAAAGGAGTCACCAAGCAAAGAGCAAACACAGATTATTTCCTTTTACAGCCCTCTGTACCACTGGGACTTTGAGAAATTTTGTTATGACTACGGATCGTGGAATTTATATGGTTTATGGTGATTGGGGCACTTCCTGAGCAGAGTAGCCCATCCTTCTGTCCTTGGAGAGAATAAAAAAAGTGATATGATTAGCAGACTATGAGCTGGATGGGACTTTGAAGGTCTTGTAGTCCAACCCACTGTTCGAGGAGGAATATGGAGATATGCAAGCTCCATTGCCAAGGGGACAATCGTTTTTTAAAAGTCCACAAAATGTTCAGAAGTGGCTCTTTAATTCACTGGAGGAGGAGAAGGAGGTTTAACAAACAGAGCGATAATATTCTGTTATTACAGCCAATCTCAATCAAAGTAGTTTTGGTTTTCCAGTGAGGTGGATCTACCAAAACTTTGTGCCTGATTCACAATCATCTGCGGAGTCCTTAGATGCTTTCTAAACTTGGTGCTTTTCTTGTAGACCTTTCATTACCATACCAGGTAATGTCATCAGTGCGTGTTAATAACCATCTCCTATTTTCTAAGCCCCCTTGCCTTATCAGGGAGTCTAAATCAGTATTTCCCAGCCGTGGCAACTTGAAGATGTGCGGATTCAACATCCAGAATTCCCCAGCCCGTGTGGCCGGATGGTGAATTCTGGGTATTGAAGTCCACAGACCTTCAGGTTGCCAAGGTTGAGTAACAGTAGTCTAAAACAGGGGTCACCAACCTTTCGGACCTCACAGACCAGTACAGTCATAATTTTAAATCCCGCGGACCACTAATATGATCTGCCTAATGACCGGCTGGATGGGCGTGGCTAGGTAGTCATGTGACTGGGTAGGCGTGGCCAATTCAATGTCACTCACGTTGAGGGGCGCCTCGCCGGTTTCTACTCGCCCCTCCCCTCCCCGCCCGGGCTCCTTAGGACCCCAACAGGAAGCAGTTGTTGGAGCTAAGCAGCCGCCATGAGTAAGAGTTGGCAAAACAGCTCAGTTCAAATTGGATCTGGCCGAGAAGGAGGCTCAGCAGAAGCACCTCACTGAGGACTAGGAGCATAGGCTTTCCAAGCAGAGGGAAGACCTGCGGGAGTGCAAGGCCAGGTACCGGCGCCTGGAGGCTCAGCGGGCTGAGATGGTCAGCCAGTTCCAGGCCATGATGCAGTCCCACTGGAACGAGGACCTCCGGCTCTTCTCCACCAGCGGTGCTTCCCTCCAGCCTTCGCCCAAAGCCCCGTACCAGGAGACCGAAACAGACCCCAAGTCGGAATTTCTGCCCCACTCCGACCCACACAAAAAGACCCCGAAGGGGGAGACTCTCTGCAGCAACACAAATGTTCATTGCACGTATCCATCCAAGGGGCCGTAGTTTGAGGACCCCTGATTTAGTGCAATATAAAAAATGCAAATAATTTTTC